ATGTCTAAACTCTCACCTCCATCAGGTGCAAAGCAAACAAACCAATAAACAAGTAGCCAAAATAAGTATTTTTTCTGCATAATACCTGTTTTTTCTCTAAGATCAGGTAAGAAAAAGCTAAAAAAAAAAAAAAAAACTAAGATGTATCCTGGGTGCCTCATTTATTTGGTTTACCTGGCACTGGAGCCCCATGATCGTTTGAGGATTTATAGGACAGATTAAATGTGCCAGCTGGTCTGGGGGACATAAGGAAAACCCACAGATAAACTGATGGAAGCAGGTGTGCGTATGGATGGACATATGGGTATTTCAGTCAAGAAGCAGCAGTTTTCTAATCACTACATTACTGAATCGATAGAGGCAATCCGATCGACTTGCCCCTGATTTACTTTGGRTTTTAGAATGTAGACCCAGCTTGGCTTCTCTCCTCGCAAAACAGTGCAGCTTTAACGCCACGATTTAGCAGCACGACAATTGTGAATGAATCAAATGATGGGTTTATTATTTGAAGTTGTAAGATAAATCATGTTTTCAGTCTGACGCACCTGGAAGTAAAGTTCCAGATTTAAATGTGGATGTTTGACTTTAGGGAGTGCAATACACTATGATGCAAATAATTTATATACCATTATAAATAAGTAAACTTCATCTACTTAAATCCTGCAGTTCAGTTCACACTGTAACTTACATTTTAAAGCAAAACAGAAGTCAGGTCTCCTAAAAGTGGGTGATTACATTGACCAACAACCCACCAACGTGATGCACTAGCCAACACTGAGCGATGCTAAAAGTTGGCAAAACCTAACTTAGCTGAAGCTAACTGGTCCGCTAACAGTTTTCAAAGCTAGTGAAAACCCTTATCTGCTAAACAAAACAATGTATAATGTATAAAATGTTAGCGGATTAGCAGAGCTGTGCCCACCGCTGATGCTACCTACCCATTGTGGGACATTTTTGCATAAAACACTGACATCAATAGTTGAGGTCAACCCGGTCTGTTCAGCAGAATCATTTGGGTGTCTGTCTATACCTGATGTTCTTAACAAACCGTGGCTGAGAAGATGTAATTATTGGAAAATCAAACAGGAGAAGGCATGAGCTGTAACTGCTGCCATCTATTGAGAACACAAAGCAGCAACAAACACACACACCAGTGTATTAACAGGAGATGAGTACCATATCCTAATGAGACGGGTTCATTAGGGTGGCAGATAAATCAAACACTTTGCCAAGTTAGCAATTATCCATCTCTTTGCGTACAGAGGTCATTAGGACCTCATGAGCGATTGCAGGCCATAAATAAATGATCAGTAAATAACACACTCAACACAGCAGAGACAGCTTACAAGTCTGAATGACCCCCCCCCCCACCACCACCACCTCCCTCTCGTTCGTCAAAACCTGACATTGATTCTTCCATTTTGAGGTTGAAATTGTRAAAGGATTGTCCAATCTTCGTCCTTGAGGTATCTCCATTCCAACACACAGGTTTTGAATCAATTGGTGATCCACAGGCTTCTGCAGAACTTGAAGAGGTAATACAGTCACTGAATCAGGTGTGTTGACGCATGACAACAGACCAGGATTAGAGAAACCCTAACACACCGCTCACTGATCACAAGCTGAATGGAGAATGAGTAAACGTCCAATTTTAACAGTTCCCATGTTATTTCCTAAAAAAAACTGACCAGTTGGACCACCAGAGCTTTCCAAACACCACCACAAAGGTAGTAAATTGGGCTCCCGACAGAAGAGTCCACAGAGAAGACCAAAGAAAACAWCAGTTGTGTTTTCTTAAAAGTCTTTTGCAAAGTTGCATCGGAGGTGGTCTGCGAGGATAAGACCCCAGAGAGTGCACTGTAAAAGCTGAGGGTTGCCAAATGTTTGCACGTTTCAGCCAGATATTTGCACTGTCCACAGGGAGACAATCAGCACACAATTCCCTCCCAGGAGGGCAACAGAGATAAGATAAATGGATTTTATACTCCTCCGGCAGAGACTTGTTTACAAAAGCCTAACTTATTAAAGCTTTTTAAAAATCTAAACAATCTTTACAAGCTGCAGGGGAAAGAAATGAAGAGTTTGGGTCAGCTGAACAAAAAAAAAAAAGAGTGAGACTTTGGGTCCCCCCTGCTACACCAAACAAGACCGAGCGAATTCTTTGAGCCACAGATCTGCCAGCTTTGATAGAGATAAGCCCTGGCCACAGCCAGGACCTCCAAAAATGTGCTTTGAATAGACAGATATTTTCAGGGAAGGGGACCCTCACAATTAGTAATGTGAGACTCTCTGCGTGTGGGTCCCGGTCCAATTCTCTGGAATCAATCAAAGCTCCCAAAGGGACTCCCCGGACCCCCTTAATCTCCTGGTTTTATTACGTTCCAGACAGTCAGCCTGTTTCACCCTACCCCCATTTCTCTTTTGTACTGATCTCCACCAAAGCCAAGGAGGGGCTTTTTTTCTCTCCTCCTCTCTCTCTCTCTCCATCTCCTCCACTTCTGCAGAAAGCTTTTCATTCAAGAGAGGGTCTTTCATCAGGCTCCACACGCAAGAGAGTCCAGCAGCTAACAGAGGCCCCTATCATGCTTTCAGAGTTTTTGTTTTAATATGACAGTGTAGTTGTTTTGCACATCACAAGAATAAAGCAAAAAATCTGGGCCACGTCGCACAACAGTCACAGATATTTTCCAGACCACATGCTGCTGAGCCTGATTGTGCCTTCCAGCTCAAACCATGAAGATATGACTTTGTCAGGAGTGTGTGTGTGTGTGTGTGTGTGTGTGTGTGTGTGTGTGTGTGTGTGTGTGTGTGTGT